AATAGATTATATTATTTTTGGTTTTTGACTGTCTTAAAAGCCAATATGTATGATGCTTTTTTAAGATTTCAATTTTTTTGATATTCTTCGTGTAAAATTTATTTTTCTTATGTCTTCAAATGTCTGCGTATGACTATTTTATAAAATAGGCGTCACATTTTAATTGTGGATAATTGTAAGTACATGTTTTTCATACACAATTGGAGTAGGCATTCAATTTGTATTTTACACCGAGTTTGAAAAACTTATTCATTATAAACCGATTTAATCAATATGTAATTATGAATTAATTGAAAACTAAAACTACGTATAGGTATTCGTTTTTTGTAATTATATGTATACTCCGTAATAATCCTCAGATATTAACGGGTATTTTTCCATTGTAGAACTACTTCCTGCCGAATTTATATATTTTTTTGTCATTTGTACTAGTGTTTTTTATGTACATAAGATAATTTTATCGGTTACCTTTAGTATATAGATTGGTATAACAAAGTTCATCGTAAAATAGATGATTGTTTACCATATTGAATCTTATCTGTACATACACACTTACATTTTGTTGTCCATTTGCATGCATAGCTTTTGGTGGGCTTGAATTTTTTGGTGCTTTTTTATTTATTCTACCATCCTAAGTCTTTGGTTCTATGTACACATGTAATATTAATATTTAAAAAGAGTCACACATAATGAAAAATTTTGCATCATTACTCAGCGGCCATTTTTTATAGATGTGATAAAAGGCTAAAATCACGCATATGTTGAATAAAATAGAAATAATGAACGCTATATTTTTTGCACACATTTTCTGCTTCTGTGCATGGGCTATGTATTGTTGGTTGCATTTGTGGTTGTTTCTGTATATATATAAAAACCCAGGGTGTTCCCTTAGGGCTAATGTTTTGCGTCTAATTGTGTTACAATTTTTATAAAAAAAAACCTTGTAATACGATGCAAGATTATTAAATTTAAATAAGATTATTGTAATAATTATGTAATTTTAATTTCATTACGAAAAGAATTCAGTTGACTCATTTCTAGGGTTAAACTTAAACGGATAATGTAATGAAATTGTTGGAAAATTACAAGGTATAATATTTAGGGTAATTCTTTTTATCTGTATATATCTCAGAATGAATTATTTTTCATCATTAAATATGACATCGTTGGAATATTTTGTTTATTAGTTTTTAAACGTTATTGGTTACGGTTTATTTTAAATTAGCAAGTTGTACAATCCATTTACAATGCTAATTTACTTGTAAAGAAATATGTAAACTAAATGTCTTTTTTATCAAGCACATTTTCATAAAAAAAGAAAAATTTTAATACACGAAAAATGAACCTATTTTTCAAAACAAAAAAAGTATGTACTTTTGTGTAATCTCAAAAGTAGTGTAATTATCCGTACACAAGGCTGTACTTATTTCAAAAACAAATAATTCGTCTAGACTTTAGACTAGAGTTTAATTGGCAAAACCGATTTTGAGCCAGTAATCTTGATACTTTTGAAATCTGCTCACTTAAAAAAAAAAAAAACAAGAATAGCCAAAGATACCTAATAGATATTTGTCAGTTTATTTACCGTTATTTTATTTGTTGCTAAATTTTAGAATGAAAAAAGATTTTGTGTTAAAGAAACTGGTATAAAAAATAAATCAATTATATATCTCCGCAAAGCGTATATTTTAAAACTTGAATAAAATAGTTGTTATTATGCTAAGCTTGGCATTTTTATAGAATTTAGAACGTTATGTTGAACACAAAAATGTATTCTAAAAGTTTGTTCTGTGTAATAAGATATTGAGAAAGTTTTTTTAAGTTTGCCTTGTGCCAACGATTTTAAATATTCAGTAACTTCTTCTAGTAGTAACTGTAGGGTTTTTGTGAATAACGAAAGTTAAAATGGTTTTCTTCAATTACAAACTTGTATTTTTAAACTTATGATACAAGAGGATGGTCATTTAAATCAATGGCAAAGAGTGTTTCTCTGAACTCTGTTGAAGCAGATATGACAATAATGAACGTTTTATATCTTTAATTAAATGTGTTGTTTTGCCTACTCATAGGGTAACAAAGATACGATTCGTGATAATTTCATTTAAGGGATCTCCCATACCGACGCGAATATCCGCTGTCGCGACCTATGCGGAACCGCAGCAGCTTGACCTATACCAACAGGTTTAGAGTAACAGACGCGGAACCGCTTAATTAGTCGCGGCTATGCAGCAGTTATTAACAGGGACGCTGCACGTAAGCTGTAGTGAATTTACAATGCATTTATGTAAAAATGGTGCTGGACGTTACTTATTGATTTTGTACCAAGGTTTCTCACTCTTTATTCTCTATGATTTTGAAAACGAAAATTATAAAAATATAAGATAAAAAAGAGAAAAAGAATTTTAGAAACTTCAAAACAGTATCTATAATAACTAAAAGGTTCTTACTCAATTTCTTTATTTTTAGCAACTGCTAATAAGATTAAATTAAAATTAAATTATCGTTTACAGATTGGTGTTAACGTCGTATTTACTTATATTATTATTGAATACTATATTTGGTTATGAAAAAATCGCTGCGAAAAATTCGAACCGCCAGACGTTCGCGTCGGTGTGGAAGATCCTTAAATATACATATGTATCTACAACAACTTTTTTCTTTCTAAAAGTAGGAAAAAGTGCAGAAATGTTATGCTTATGAAATTAATATTAACAGTACTATCTCTGTCCGCCTTCTCATGTTTTTGTCTTTAGCGTTTTACTTTTTTTTCTTTTTAACTGTTTCGAATTCTTGGTGGTGCTCTGCATGCATGTTTGTTTATGTGTAAGAGTATATATTTTTTTTTATATATAATGTCTAGTAATATATTCTTAATAAATAATAGATTATATTATTTTTGGTTTTCGACTGTCTTAAAAGCCAATATGTATGATGCTTTTTTAAGATTTCAATTTTTTTGATATTCTTCGTGTAAAATTTATTTTTCTTATGTCTTCAAATGTCTGCGTATGACTATTTTATAAAATAGGCGTCACATTTTAATTGTGGATAATTGTAAGTACATGTTTTTCATACACAATTGGAGTAGGCATTCAATTTGTATTTTACACCGAGTTTGAAAAACTTATTCATTATAAACCGATTTAATCAATATGTAATTATGAATTAATTGAAAACTAAAACTACGTATAGGTATTCGTTTTTTGTAATTATATGTATACTCCGTAATAATCCTCAGATATTAACGGGTATTTTTCCATTGTAGAACTACTTCCTGCCGAATTTATATATTTTTTTGTCATTTGTACTAGTGTTTTTTATGTACATAAGATAATTTTATCGGTTACCTTTAGTATATAGATTGGTATAACAAAGTTCATCGTAAAATAGATGATTGTTTACCATATTGAATCTTATCTGTACATACACACTTACATTTTGTTGTCCATTTGCATGCATAGCTTTTGGTGGGCTTGAATTTTTTGGTGCTTTTTTATTTATTCTACCATCCTAAGTCTTTGGTTCTATGTACACATGTAATATTAATATTTAAAAAGAAGTAGAACCGGAGACTTGTCTAATGACGTGGAATATTTATTAGAATTGTTCTGTAGGAGCGGTCAACGTTCCTGTGGGTAACGTATCCGAGCGGAAGGCCCTGAGGGAGAAATTACACTGTAAAAGTTTCAGATGGTATCTGGAAAATATTTATCCCGAATCGCAGATGCCTTTGGATTACTACTATTTGGGAGATGTAAGTTATTTATTAGGGATAGACCATTGGACATTCCTTTCTATAAACAAAAGTTTAATTTGTTCACGACTTAGCATATTGAATTTGCTGCTCCACTATTCAGAATTTGCATAACTAAGTAATCCTGTAGTTAGCACTCCTATTAAATGTCACATGGCA